AGTTCTTTATATATTATAGAGATTAATGCTTTATTGGAGCTGCATGTGGTAAAGATTTTCTCCCAGACTGTAGGGTCTCTGTTGACGTTATTAATTGTTTCCTTTGAGAGAAGAAGCTTCATAATTTGAATCCATCCCATTTGTGGATTATTTTGACTTTGTAGGAGTCTTGTTAAGGAAGTTAGATCCTAATCTAATGTGGTGAATATTTGGGCCTATTTTTTTCTTCTATTAGGCATAGGGTTTCTGTTCTAGTGCCTAAGTTTTTTATCTACTTTGAGTTGATTTTTTGCGCAGGGTGAGAGATAGAGGTTTAATTTCATTTTGCTACATATGGATTTCCAGTGTTGCTGTACCACTTGTTGAATAGGCTATCTTTTCTCCAGTGATTGTTTTTGGCATTCTTGTCTAGTAGGAGATAACTGTATTTATGTGGGTTTGTCTCTGTGTCCTCTATTCTGTATCATTGGTCTACAAGTCCATTTTGGTGCCAATACCCTGCTGTTTTTTGTTACTATAGCTGTGTAGTATAGTTTAAGATCTGCTATTGTGATGCCTCCTGCTTCACTTTTCTTGCGTATGATTGCTTTAGCTATTCTGGGTCTCTTATTTTTCGAAATAAATTTCATGAATGCTTTTTGTATTTTTATGAAGAATCTCATTGGGATTTTAATAGGAATTTCATTGAATCTGAATAATTCTTTTGGTAGTAAAGCCATTTTGACAATATTAATTCTGCCTGTCTAGGATCATGGGAGATCTTTTCATCTGCTGAAATTTTCTTCAGTTTCTTTCTTTAGTGTTCTATGGTTTTCATGGTAGAGGTTTTTTGTTAGATTGATTCCCATTTTTTTTGAGGGGGGGGCTATTGTGAATAGGTTAGTTTTCCTAATTTTCTTTCAGTGGATTCATTGATGATGTATAGGAATGTGTTTTGACTTATGGGTGTTGATTTTATATCCTGCTACTTTGCTGAATTCACTTATTCTAGAATTTTTCTAGTAAATTTCTTTGATCTTCTAGATATAGAATCATGTCATCAACAAATAGTGATAGTTCTTCTTTATTTGTATTTCTTTAATTTGTTTCTTTTATCTAATTGCTCTGGCTAGTGTTTCAAGGATGATGTTGAATAGAAGTGGTGAAAGAGGACATCCTTGTCTTGTTCCAGTTTTTAGTGGGAATGCTTTCAATTTTTCTCCATTTAGAATGATGCTGGCTTTGGGTTTAGCATATATAGCTTTTA